CCACCCTCTAGTGAGTAGGGAAGGGCTACCCCACAGAGTTACGAACTACAAAGTAATCCCGTTTCCAGGCCGGGACTTTACTGGGAAGCTTATGTAACAACTTGAAGCCCGGGCAGGGGACAGGTAGTAGGTCCGTCTGTGCTCAGGGATAATGCTAGATGCATTTTCTTTATCGACAAGATAGAAGAGAAAATGTCAAGGTCAAGAGGAAGGTTATAGTCGAAGCAGAGGGAAATTGTACCGACCACGTTTCGGACAGAGTTCGAGCAGAGTTGATCTATGGTTACATCGAAGTGATTTAACACCAACAATGAGGGGGTGCAATGGAAGGCGGAGTTCGGCCGCGAGCTGCTCCCCAAAAATAACGATCTCGTCGCGACCGTGTTCCCAAGGGAAGTCACCCGCAGGAAGGTGGTAGGTATACTCCCTAGGAAGGTTATACCGAGTTATCAGGCTCCTAAGCCTATCTACCGTCATGGTAGAAGGACCAAACTTGTCAATTATCCGACCTCGATTTGAGGTGGATGCTAGGTTACCTGAGGTCTCCCACACCTCGTAGACTAACTGTGCCTCGGAGGCACCCACTTGAGTCGGGACACCCACCTCGGGCTCATCTAAGAGACTGTTGAAGCTATGGTCTGACATAGCTACGGACTGAAAAATGAACTAAGGGAAGCTAGCTACAAAGCTGAAAAGACTAGAACCGAACTGAAAGAAGGAACTAGGGAGACTCACCAAAGAAAAAAGCAATCGAGCTAGGGAAAAGAGACGAACTGGAGAACCCGAGCTGAAGACCTTAGACGCAACCTCAAGACAAGTGCTAGTGAACTTATGGCGAAGAAAATGACTCGGGTCCCCCCTATTTATAGCCGCTATGTCCGAGCATCAACGGTCACGATCAAGATGATCTAACGGCTCTCAAGAAAACCGGCTACGCGACCTCCGAGGTGAAATCAGTTTAGCGCATTTTTTGACGTCCGTGGAGTTTATAAATCGCGTGACGTCCGTGTGTGAACTGTACGCGACTCGGGTTACCCTTGATTGAGTCAAGCTGTGAACTGGTCCGACCGACAAGCTGCCTGACTAGACGGATGAACTTCGAGCCAAATCCACCCGTACGCTGTGAACTCCCCGCATTGGGTCAAGACCCCTAACACGGGGAGTTGGGGAGTAATTGATGGAGGGTGATTTGGCCCGACCTCATAATAGGGGGACACGTGAACATGACTCGACATAAGAGACAACTCGGCATGACAACCTAGCCACAACTCGACGTAATGAGCTCGCTAGGATCCACCCTGACAGCTCAGTACAGGTGGCAACTCGGGGCAAAGTGGTACTCCGATTACCTCGAGCTCTCTCCCAAGGGGGGAGCATCCCGAGGTCCCTCCAAGTGAGGAGTCCCGAGCTCCTCCCAAGTAAAGGAGCCCTCGAGCTCCTCCTCAAGAAGGGAACACCCCGATCTAAGATCCCTGGGTAAGGAACATCCCGAACTGAAGGCACTTCAGGTAAGCTCGCCAGTAGGCTCCTGCCCAAACATAAGTAGTTGCCTCAAAGACTTGCCTCGGGTAGAAGCACCTCGGCATATTAGCAGTAGCTTGGTACCAGGTAGCTCGGTGTATTGCTTGACAGTCATACCCACCAGATCTGGAGATTGCACCCACGTCTCTGGCCAGGCGGCGGCATGCCTGCCAAACCCTAGCAAGTGTCCCCTGTTTGGCAGGGCCGTACCCTACAACGGTTACCTGCGCCCACCAGCTCAGCCCTAACAAATAATGGCTGCAGCAGAGAATCATAGGCGGTTATACTTGATTTGTCAGCACATCAACATATAAAGGCCCCGACCCCTCATGGGCAAAGGTATTTGCGCATCTCCACTCTTAGCTTATTTCTCTACAACTCTCTCTTTCTCAGCTCTCCACCAAGTTCTGACTTAAGCATCGGAGTGTTCCCGTCGGGAGAGCTCCCCGGGAATCCTTCACCTTCTTCCTCGCTGATATCTTGTCTGGCGCCAGATAGGAGTGCAGCCTCTGCCAGATAGGAGTGCTCAGATCATGCACCATCAGGTGTCAACTCTAGAGTTTCAGGATTAGATGCATATGGTGTGAATATGTCATTAGAAGAGTTGTTAGCAACATGGTCCTATGTCATTGGGATGTGGTCAATATCCTCGCTTAAAGGGATCTCAACATTACCCATTTATGTGAAACTTGTGGCACTAGTCGCCGAATAGATGAACTCCAACTTTTCTAGATATGGACAACCTTTCTTCCTTACTTGCTTTCCACACTTATACTTCTGTATGAAGTATACTTGAAGTTAGTATCTTAGTAAAGTAAAACCCCTTGATAATCATCTCAATACTTGTATAACATTCTTACCAAAATAGGATAGTCTCACACACATTTACTAGCACTTAGTGTCTATTTGGTTTCCAGGAATAGGTGCTTGCAATCGGAAACATAATGGCCCACTTTGATTCCTACCATTTGTTTTGGCAAGAAAGAAATTCTGATTTCCATTCTTGGGGGAGTGGGATTTCTCCATATGGGGGAATGCCCACTCTATATAACACTCCTAACAAAAGGACCCCCCAATCCTAATATTAATAAAATATTAATACAATATAACTAAAATAATAAGAAAATAATAATAACACAACATTAATAATTAAAAACTAGTCATATAATAATAAAATAAAAATATATCAGTAAAGTAAAAATAAATTAATGATAAATACTAAGATATTAATTATTAAATACTAATAAAATAATAACAACAATGTACTAAAAAATTATAATATATATTCATAAAATATTAATAAAGTAATATTTTCAGTTGAATTTAATTCCAACTCCCAATGTACCAAACAACAACAATCAAAATCCGTTCTTGATTCCAAAATTGGTGATTCTGCTTATGATTTTTGGGGATTTCAATTCTCATTCTAGTCCTTTTGCGGACCAAACGAACGTGCTTAACCATCAACTATATAAATGACCTCTCTTTGGCCTCCCTCCAAGTGACTATATCCACTTGTGAAGGGTCTTCGTGAGTGTCCATGTACGGAAATAGGAGTGGGTGGAGTAAAACACATTCAAAGAAATCATATATTCAAAAAAAAAAAAGGAAAAACAAAGAAAAGACCAAAACAAAACACCAAATCTCTCTTTCTTGTTATCTTTTTATCTCTCTTGTTCTTTCTTTTTATTTTTCACTCACTCTCTTTCTCCCTCCATTTCTCTCTCTCTCTGTTATTTATAAAATAGATTTCACTATAAAATCTTCTATTTCCAAATTGGAAAGTTTTGTATTGATGAAGGAATCAACCAAATTAGACATATATCAAAGACGGTAGAATGTGTTATTATATTAAGGGTGCATGATTTGGTTGTATTAAGATGGATGAATCAACCAAATTATATGATTCCAACCATCAACCTGATCTCAATTATAGGCAGTGAGAAAAATGAGCAATCCTGAACTAGGTAACCAATTCAAACCATCATATCCCAACGCAGTACCTATTAGATTCCTTAAGTTTGTACAGCTGGACTACTATTCTATCAGTCATTAATTTGATGTATCAGTGAGAGAAACAGATATTGATGGGTTGAGAATGCCATGACCCCATGGATACCAAAACAAACTGCATTGGGCTGAGAATGTTGAGGCTTGAGAGCCCATGAAAACCAACTTAATTTGGATCCCTTGTTAACAGTTTCTTACAGAGTTTCAGTTTTTGTCAAAGGTTAGAACTTTATCATTTCTTGTTCAATATATGATAAGTTAAAGGAGTATCAAGACTGCCGGAGCTAACAATGCCTGTAATTTGATCCCAACAACTTAAATATTGTGTGGCAATTTTTTTATAAGTGGATAATTTATTAAGTCATATTAGATATAAAAGAGTACAATCATTAAATATTCTGGCCTGTTGGTTAAGAGGAGAAAGTAGAGACCATCTGTTGTGGTTATCTTTGTTTTAATATAATATATATTATATATATACTAATAAATTATTAAGAAAAAATATAATTTAAAATTCATTAAATTCTATATAAAATTAATTACATGTCATAGGGCTTCTTTTAGTTCAATTTTGCTGAATAAAACCCATGCATATATATTATAGGTCCTAAATATTTGTTCAAATCAAATCAAATCAGATTATATCGGATCAAATAGAGATGAATTCAAATTTCATCCAATTATAAATGGATTGAATTCAGATCGCCCTTAACAGGATCAAAATCGAATATCGAATTTGAACTCAAACCCGTTTGTTTTTTTGGTAAAGGACCATTGAGTTTTGTTTTTATATTTGCTTTTTTTTTAATTTGGTGATATGCCCGAATCCCCATAGGGCCCTTCTGGGTGACTCCAGATCTCCTACCCACAAGAACTCTACCCACAAAACACTAATGCCTGCCCATGAATTAGCATATTTCAGATTTCCACTGCAGAACTATAAACATTCAAAAACCCCCCATTCTATACACCAATGCCTGCCCATGAATTAGCATCAATTCCGAACTGGCACCCATCCCAACTGTACTTTGAGCCTAAAATTCCAACCCTGGGTTCAACCGTTATTCTCCCAATCCTCATCTAAATCTGTTAAAAAAAACCAGCTAACATACCAACTGAGAAGCCCCTCAGTTGGCTTGGACCATTAAGTTTGTGACAATAGAACTGCAAACTGCAGGGACCACATCACTCCACATGTAATTTTATTTTGATTTAAAATGGTCACTGGGTCAGCGGTTCAACCATCTGGTCCGGTCTGAGTCATATATACAGCACTACTTCCAATTCAAACTTCCACAAATCTGAGCTGTCCAACTAAAATCAGTGTCCTTTTAAATACACCAAAAGACTACTGATTTTGTAACGTGCGAAAGCAACTTATGTTGATTTAGTAATAGAATCAATATAACTATATATAACAACAAATTAAAGAAAATGTCAAAATTAACATAACCATTGCAATTCCATGATTAAAATTAAGATATGCCAACCAGGGAATTAAACTGATTAGAAAAGAAAATTAAAACAAAATGAGCATGAAGTGAAAAAAATCAAAAGTTACTGATCATTTCGTATAGGATCGAAAACTTCAAAAAAAAAAAATCAATAAAATTAATCATCTCCGGCCATAACCATTCTACTAAGCCGACTAGGACCCAGTTTCTTTCTTCTCATGGAGCTCCTCCTCCTTACAACATCCATTTCGTTCCTTCTCCTAACCTGCATCATTGCTTCTTCTTCCACAACAAATCTTCTCATGAGAACATCATCAGTTAATGACTTCCCCCGGAAAACCCTCCTGCTGCCTTCTGTACTGATTCTATAACTGGGAAATGTTTCGGGAGGTGGTATCACCAATGGCTTTGATCTAGGATAGCTGTTGCTCCTCCTCGGTGGAAGATCGGCTCGAAAAACTTCAGTATAAGAAGAGATGGGTGCACAAAGACATACCCGAGTGAATGAAGTTGCAACCTTAAGAGAAGAACACTTCCTTAGCTTAGATCTGTTGGGATTCGTGGAAACCTCAGTGGGTTTTGATATGGGTTTCCATAAATTTGCTGCCTCCATTGCTCTCTGATACCAGGGCTTCCTACAGCACAAGCATGTATTTGTCAAGAAGGACAACGAGTTAATGGGTTTAAATATAATCGTATATTTACATGGATCAAGAGATATTAATATAATGTCTAAGTATAGGGCCGCACTGTCTGGACTCTGTAAAATGGACGAGTTAGAGAGAGAGAGAGAGAAGCTGACTGAACAAGCAAGTTAATTGTTGGTGCTTCTGTATATATGCATAATAGATGAGATATGAGTAAGACTCAGTTATACTGCTTGGCACGACATGTGTGGTTGTCTACTAAACATGGATTTTAATCAAGCTTGCTTGCAGAAGATTTTGAGTTATAACGAGTGAGTGAGAGAGAGAGAGAGAGGTTCTCTCACATACCTTGTCTGTGACTGTGAGTTCCTTGGATCTTGCATGAACTAGAGGGAAATGAAGAGTGTGAGAGCTGGCGAGTGGGAGGGAGGAAGTTCATCTGATCAGAGAGACGGATGAGCCTTTTGCTTGAATCGATCGTGAAGGAAAGATGGCAGATGGGTTGGGTTCTTTCTTTTTCCCTTTCTTTATTACAGCTTCCTTTTGCTTTGGCACACAGAGAGAGAGAAAGAGAGAGAGAGAGAGATTTGAATTAGAAAGTAAAATTGTTGCTTTTCAGGCAAATACTAAAGTTATAAAAAAGTAATTAAATAAAAACAATATATAATTACGCCCTAGTTACTCAACTGAATATACTTTAAAAATCAATTATTCACGTATGTCTATTATCTTTTCCAAAATTTAACCAGCTGTGATTTGGCAAACACGAAGTTGGATCCCGGATCGTGATCGATCAGTCCTTTAAGAGATTGATGACAGTTTGTTTCAAGTCATGATTCAGTAAGGACCATGACTTCTTCATGTGGAGCCCTTTAAATGACCATTGAGCCTTGCAAAGATGGGTGGAGATTGTACTGCATGGAGTAATTTACAGGGAGTACGTAGATTTAATACAGTGGTTAATGGTCAAAACCTTTTTAAATCCTTCTCCCTTTGTTTAAAACTTTCAATCAAATCCCAGTTGACACATTCTTCAAGGAATCATTTAGATTATTTATAAACTTGTTAGAAATGGATCAGAATGCATTAGTCATCTCAAGAGATGGAAGAATCAAATGGATCAGAGAGTGCGTTAGTCATCTCGATAGATGGAAGAATCGAGAAATTAAAGAAGGCAAAAATCTAAAGGAAAAAGGAATGAAAGTCAGCAGGAGAAGGTGTACATATAGAACAAGTAAACATACAGTTTTGGAATTGAAGAGAAGGAATTTTCAAAGGTTACATCAAAAGAGAACATTATGTCATTGTCATCATTTGCAATTTAGGTCAAGGGCACTTTTATTTGTCCAAGTGGAAATATCAAAGAAGGTGAAAGGCATCTCGATCACAAGGAAGATAAAGCGTGGTCGTGAGCTTTTTATGATTCAATTCTATGTGTCAATATTATTTGTGAATGGATGGCATCATGATTCCTCTGTGAGTGGGATAACGTCCACAAGCTCAAAAAGCTGGTCCAAGATAAGAAAAAAAAAGAACCATGATGAATAGAGCTTGGGTTTAGAGGATCAAATAAATAAATAGCATTAATTAAAGGGAAAACCCTACTGGGTTTGTCAAAGAAACTTGAGAAATTGAGATATAATCTATGAGATGGTGGTTTATTTCTAATCATCCATTCAATTTACCATTCGGCCTCTCCACCATAAAATATAGAAATTTAGGTTGTGTTTGGGTAAGCTTTACAATTTGTGCTTCTAAAGACTAAAAGGGGTTTTTGTGATTTGGGGCTTAAAAACATTTTCGCTTAAATTGTTATGTTTTTAAAAGAGATCACTCTTACCAGATGCTTATTAAAATACATTTTGTTTCATTTTTACTTCCCACAGAACAAAGCTCAAAAGTAAAAGCTTTTCCAAACAAAGCCTTAATTTTGAAATAAAGAATTATTTTTGATAATTTTTTGGAAGGGTGAATTATTGCAAAGTCAATGGTGGATCTTTGAAAACGAGGATTATTACAAAACATATTCAGGGAAAAAAAATCAAATTCTCATCGAAAGAAACTATTATTTCCCTGTAGTGCTTTTTTTTTTGTATCTATTAAAAAATATAAGATAAGAAACGTATTGAAGATAAACATATAAGCAAACTAGAAAATACAAAATTATGTCGTACGTCTAAAATACAAGAAAAAGAAAAATAAAGAAAGTAAGGGACTTTTCTCCCAAACTAGCTGTTTTGTGGATCAAAAGCATTTTTATTTAAAAGCACTTCTAGACGGGTTCTTTGCCCCTGCGGGGATGGAGCGACAGAAGTTTTGAGAATCCAAGAAAAGGTCACGGCAAGACAAGTCGTTTATCATTACGATAGGTGTCAAGTRGAAGTGCAGTGATGTATGCAGCTGAGGCATCCTAACAGACCGATATAGACTTGAACCTTGTTCTTATATGACCCGATCAATTCGATCAGGCATTCGCCATCTATTTTCATTGTTCAACTCTTTGACAACACGAAAAAACCATTGCATTGTTCAACTCTTTGACAACATGAAAAAACCAATAAATGGGTCGGATGTGGTTGGATATGCCTAAATCCAAATTTTATTCCTTAGGCCATGTTTGGTTAATTGCACTACAAATTCTTTTGCAGTGATGCAAAATTATGGTAGTGCAAATTATTTGGGTATAAGTTTTGATTTATTTTTGTTTCAAATTTTACCTTAAATTGTTTGGTTGCAATAAAAATGAAGCAAAATAAGACACGAAGTAGAATAAAGTAAAATCCAAAACAAAATTAAACCAAAATTTGAATTTTTTTTCATTTGCACTGATCTCATACATTTGTACTAGTGCAAATAAAATTGCACTGCAACCAACCACAGCCTTAATATTCTGATTTGAATCAAATTCTTATCCTTTGGATTTATATTATAAGGATTATGGTGGGATATTCAATAGCACTAATAATTTATAATAGAAATTATAAAAATATTATATATTATTAATAAAATGAATCTGATAATATAAATCATGAACAAAGAGAACAGAAAATAACTTGTAAGAAACTTGAATTTCTAACTCTTTGATTAGTAAATTAAAGTGGTTTGTCAAAACACCAATAGATATGCTGGTGACGGTTAGTGGTTCCTTCATGTATTATTTGACTAATGTGAGGGCACATGTATGCACGTGTGCAAGTAAAGAAAAATACAAGTATATGATCAAATTTAAATTTTTATGACTCGCACTAAAACCAAGGAAAGTATCTGCTTTAGCACAAATAGGTTTACATCTAGAGACCTCTTTGTTTGGTAGATATAACAATATAAGCTCAAACTTAATTAGTTGTTAGAGTTTTTAAAGATGCTTAGCCTAGTGAAGAAATCTAGAACAAATGGGTGAGTACAAGCTCAAGGGATTCTCAACTTTTTTCACCTCTAAGATTATTGAAGCTCAAGAGTCTCTTCAACAAAAATGAATTTAGCTAAATTGTTCTCTCTAAAAAATAATTATACACTATGTACAAGGAAAAGATAGGTTGTCTTTCTCTTTATTTCTCTTGCTTGTTTAAATCAAGCTAACTTCCTTTATTTATAGAGGATTTGAGAGCAAATGACCAATTTCTAGCTATTGGAGGATTTTTTCCATTCTTAGTAATGCTTCAAAATTTCTCCAACTTGATAGCTGGCTTTCCAAAGATGATTGTACCTGTTAGGGCTTTTAAATGGTCAAAATTTTTCAAAGTAGTCAACTATCAAAATTGCAAGTTGGCTACTTGACAAATGAAGGAATCTTTTTCTCTCCCAGTAAATTGGTTCCTTCTTATCAGTTGATTGAGACTAATTACGAACTAGGTCTATTTGGGTTGGTCAACTATGCATTTTTTAGGTGATCGATTATGTCTCTTAGACATGGCATTCTTATGCCTCAATTGTCATCAGTAGTCAACTATGCCTTTTGGGGTAGTCGATTATGTTTTATAGTCCTAGAAATTCATGACTCAACTGTCACATTTAGTGGACTATGATTTTTTTGGGTAGTTAACTATAATATAGAGCCTAGGCAATCTTGCTTGTGAGACAAGGCAACACTTGAAGACTTTGAAATTTTTCATTCAAAGGCTTGGAATCACTTCCATTGGATTTCAAAGTGATTTTTTGAGATTGTAAAACACTTTTTAAGTTGAGGAAATCCTAAGAACGAAACCTATTCTAGTCATTTGGTCTTTAAGGTTCCCAAACCCAAGTTCAATCTTGTTGAGTATCAAAAGAGTGCATCTAAACAACTGATTACATCGATTTTGTAAAGATTGACACAATTAAGGCATAGCTTGATGTATTCTTCTCCTTAATGAGTAGTTGTAGTAGACGATTAATTTGAGAAACTCCAAAATTTTTAGTTCTTAATAAATAGCCTTTATAATGATTTATTTGCTAGAGTTTCATCAGTTGAAGAGATTTGATGATGGTGATGAAATCAATATGCTTTGGCATTAAACTCAGCAAAGCTTCTACATCTTCATCTTTGTTAGATTTCCACCTTTACTTCTATTTAGGGTAAAATATTTTTTCCATAAGATATTTGCATACTTAGTCACACACAATTAATATTCTCAATGGGTTTGTTATCATCAAAACACATAGGGTCAACAAAGAGAGCAAGTAAGCTTAGGAGAGAGTTTTTAGTAGCAAAAGTGAAAATAAGCCCTCACCTTTGGTGGCATGCCCTTATTTAGGTGTTGGGGAGTGTCATTGTGCTCCTCATTCATGGAACATGTATCAACTTCCAATTTAGTAACCACCTAGGCCATTATTAGGAGATGTAGGCAATATGGTCCACCAAGAGTGGGATGAGGAGAGTAGGGGAAATTTCACCGACCTCGATGGCTGATGGAGGCTTTGCCAACATTCACATCCCATCTCACCTAGGACTTATGGCATCCTCTATCACTAGCCTGCTAATTGTATGGATGGGTGCAACAACACTACTCCTTGGCTCATCCCGTTATTTGATCCCTTGACTACATGGTGGTCTTTAGTGAGAATAGTTGCAGTCTTCCAACTAGTACCTTGTTGGGCTCATCCATGTTGCCAACCTTAGGGGAGTCGACTTGACCTTCCCATTATTCCATACTCTTCTTTTCTTAAAGAAGCATCCCCAATATAAGGTCTATTATTACTTCTTAACCCATCCCAACTTGAAATTTATTTATGGGGCAACATCCTCTATCCATGATTGGAAGGGGAGGTTATTCTTCGTCTCCTCCTGGGATGGGTGCGACCCTTTAACATTGAGCTCACCACCCCAAGGACCAAGGTTAAGGCACCCATGCCAAACATATTCTCTAACAAGGAGAATAGAGACCTTGAAAGTTAGTTGACTTTGAGACCAACACTAAGGAGTATGACTCAACTTGGTAATTGAGTCATCAAGGCATTAATCTCTTCTTGGTTCCTTTTTCTTTGATAATTTGTTCAAGTACTAACTTTGGTTCATTTTGTAGATTCTAACATGGCTTTTGAGGATGAGGAGTAAGGAC